TGTTGATCTGCTGGAGGGCAGGAGGGATCTGGACAGGCTGGATCAACGGGCCCGAGGCCAATTGTATGAGGTTTAATACAGCCAAGTGCCACGTCCTGCACTTTGGCCACAACAACCCCATGCCATGCTACAGGCTTTGGGAGGGAGGTTTTTTTGGACCTGGGGGTGCTGCTTGGCAGCTGGCTGAATATGAGCCAGCAGTGTGCCCAGGTGGCCAAGAAGGCCAACAGCATCCTGGCCTGTATCAGAAGTAGTGTGGCCAGCAGGAGCAGGGCAGGGATCGTGCCCCTGTACTCGGCACTGGTGAGGCCACACCTCGAATCCTGTGTTCAGTTTTGGGCCCCTCACTACAAGAAGGATGTTGAGGTGCTGGAGTGTGTCCAGAGAAGGGCAACAAAGCTGGTGAGGGGTCTGGAGAACAAGTCTGATGAGGAGCGGCCGAGGGAACTGGGGTTGTTTAGTCTGGAGAAGAGGAGTCTGAGGGGAGACCTCATCGCTCTCTACAACTACATGAAAGCGGGTTGTGGTGAGGTGGGTGTTGGTCTCTTCTCCCAAGTAACCAGCAATAGGATGAGAGGAAATGGCCTCAAGTTGCACCAGGGGAGGTTTAGATTGGCTATTGGGAAAAACTTCTTCACCGAGAGAGTGGTCAGGCATTGGAACAGGCTGCCCAGGGAGGGGGTGGAGTCACCAAGCCTGACCCACACAGTCATGAATACAAGAGGTATTCTTCCTGCCTTCCTGGTTTATCAGTTTGAGAAAGTACCCCTTTTGTACTTTCTAATGTTCCTCCTTCTCATAAAAGCTCCCTTTTTCTTGCCCTGCCAGACATCTCTATTTTATATCCCCCTCTCTAATCCATCTTCATTGCCATCACTAAGGTTGCATACTTCAAACTGTCATCCTCAAGTTCCCCACATATATTCTCCACCTAGTGCATGCACGTATTTCCTTTTTTGTTTCCCGTTTCTCTTATTTTCTCCACCATAGAACACCTATCTCTGTATACTTCATTTCTGCAACATTAACATAGTTTTGTCTGTACAAGTCCCATTTGAGATTCCAGTGCATTAAATTTCACAGGGAAAAAAGAACAGAAGCGAGAGTTCTGTTAAGTTACAACATATTCACGCAAATCAGTCCTCTATTAAGTCAATGCTAAAACTTGTGGTTTTCCTAAGTGAAACAGGACTCTTAGCTCTTCAGCATCCTGTTTGGTTACATGAAGCATCCAGGAGTTTCTGAATTTTACAGAAACAGAAGTACCAGAAAAACTATTTAAAGACCAGTCACATCTGGTAAAAAGAAGCCTGAGAAGACATACTTTATAGATTTTGTATGATAATACAAGTGTAACTGATACGCACTAGTTACACTGTACATCTGTTTGATGTCAGAATAGACGAGCTTGTCTATAAGAGCAAAAAGTTATCCTTAAAAAATAATGTAGTTCAGGTGCTGAGAAACTTAAAATAGCTCAAGAAAAGAATAGAATTGGAGGATAAGGAGAGGAAGGAAAAAATATATACCACTTAGTTTTCACATGAAAATCCTGCATGTTTTTCTTAACGACATACTGAAGTTAACAAGCATATTTAAGGTAATATTAATATTACCTTATTTACCATCATATTTAACTATGATGTTAAATAAATTACAATTAAAATCAGGAGTCTAAGTCATGACCAAATGTCCTTCTAAAACATCAATAATTAAGTACCTTAAGACAAATTCCTGAGTACTGTTTTATGGTTTCTGCTATGCAAGAAACCAGATTGCTGACATAATAGTCCATTCAGAGTTTTTAAAAATCTTCAGTAGTACAGTAATTAAAGAACTTAAAAATATTTAGTTCATTTAAATTTTCTTTCAATAATTGTTTCGTAGGACATAGAAGCTTTTATGTGATTGATTCAGGAAAGTATGCTTAAGATTTGTCTGGATGGCCCAAACACAGAAAGAAGAAATTAAGAAACAACAAATTAGGGGTCTAATAAATATCCAAAATCTGCACTTTAACACAAGAAAGTACATTAGAGATATAGAGGATGGCTGAATTGTAGGGAGTCAGGTGGTGTGCATTCACTGGACATCCATATGAATCCCCATAAACTCAAAGCCCCTCTACTTTATCCATTTCTTACCTGCAACACATTACTTTCAGCTTCCTCCCCAGTAATCACTTCAACCTTCGCTAATAAACACTTCCTTGCTGTTGCTTTAGTATAGGCTGCTGCAGACTCTGCCAGTGATTCTGAAACATTATTAGCTGTACAACATTTTGAAAGTTTGAGAATGATTAGCATACAAGTATGTAAGATTTACAAAGGTCTCAAGTATACCAGAATTTAGAGAAATTAAGTACAAAAGACAGACATTAATAGAACATTAGAAACAGGACTGAAGTTTAAAGCAGAAGTTAAAGCTTGTGGTTTAAGACTTGTTTTAAAAGCACAAGATGACACAAGGGAAAGAAGAGGCAAGTTTTTGAAAAATTTTGTCCCCACATACAATATTTCAAAAGCCTTGCTAACACATGGACACCTATGTATCTGTAGGTACTCCAGCAGCACTGCTACTGCTATCAGCTATACAGTTGTGCCTACACACACACAGCATGATTCATTTTCCACTTTTATTTTGGCTTGCAAGCAGTTTGCTGGAGAAAAGCCATAGCTCCCAAAATTTCCAGAAAATCTTGCCAATCTGAAGAGTCACAGAAGTCTAGAATCCAGCAAAACAGTTCTTGGTTTGAGCACATTTGGTGCACCCACAATACAATATACATTTGGCTCAGACGTTCAGTCACTGGAAGCATAATAGAATTCAGAAACAGTTTTCCACATTTCTTCTACACCCTGTAGGTCCAAGTACTTGCTCTGTTAATTTCCTCTACTTTCATTCTGCTGAAGATACTTCCAACACCACAGAACAACCATGAAAAAAGACAGCGTAGCCTGTATGTGTTCAATTTTAAAGACAAAAGGGCAAGAAGATCTATAGCATCCAGCATCCAGTCACCTCCCACCCCTAGCCTGTGTCTTTGGTTACAGGAGACAGTAAAGGCAACATAAAAATGCTATGTTTTTATAAAGTAACAGGATATGGAAAAATGCAATCATTTAAACAAGGATTAACTACCATTCCTAAAATAATATTTTGTTTTTCACCTTTTTCTGGTGTGGCTTCCTGAGAAGATGATTCAGACCCAGACTCTGTAGCAGCATTCTCCTTATTACTCTCTGTACTACCTTCATTTGATTTTGGTGGACTCTATCGCAAAAAGAAGAGGAGGTAAAGAGAAGAGAGAAAATATACACTAATATTGCAGAACAAGACTAGCGATCAATTACTGAGGGAAGCCCTAGTGTTTATACATCATACGGCAGAAGAAGAATCCCACAGATGACATGCTTTCACAGTAAAAGCTATCCTACCACCCTGGGCCAAGGAAATGAACAGAGCATGACCTGAAAATGAGTTCAAATTATTTTACCTTGAACTGAAACCAAATTTAAACCCTTATTTTGAAATTATGTTCAACAAAGCAAATCCATTTCAGATACAGTTCAACTCAAGGCGTACTTGACTGAACTCCTTGCTCAGTGGTTAGACAGGTATGAAAGCACAGCATTAAAAGTTTCCCTTTTGTACCAGAATAGCAATAAAAACAGCAGTAGGAAACAGGCACTAGAAGTTACACCTTAGGCTGGTACGCAATAAACACGGTATTTCCTGGATCATACCTCAGTACTGAGGCAGCTGCCTTACCACTGGACTTGAAACCCCATCACTGGGTGTGTCATGTAACTGACCTTTTCTCAGTTTGGAGGACAGCAAGTATCAAGCACCCTCAAATACTTATACTGAAGAAGCCGTTTAAGGAAGCAAGCTGTGCCATAAAGTGCTTGGACTTGAGAACCACATGCATGACAGAGAAGGCACTCAATCTCCTTACACTGGTAAAGCTTGGCAGGAAAATCCTGGAGAGCGCAGCAGACAATAGCTCATAATGAAACCCCCATGCTGCACTCTTATAAAATAAGTTACCTACAAGGGAAACCACTGAAAGAAAACCATGGTCCAGTGACAAGTACAATTAAATGTTCTCAAAATTCCTAAGTGAGAATACATAAAACAAACTCCTCATAAAATTACAACATTTCATACACAGTGGATACTCACTAGGACTCGCTCACTCATGTTCTGTCCAAAAACAAACTTGTTGCTAGAGGTATCTGCACTGTTCGTAGAGTTCTCTACACTGAAAAAAAACAAACCCAAACCCAAAACAGATTTTGTAAGTCAGGAAAATATCTGTTTATCTTCTACTGATAGTGAACGATTGTCACGGGCTTTAAAAATGAAGTACTAGCTGACACAGAAACATAATCAAAAATTAATTCAACTTAGTAAATGAGCACACATACTGGTTTTACAGAATGAGTATTCTCTCAGAATGATGGCAAATGATTTCGTCGCAGTAAATATCTTCCCTTTATATACCTAATTACATATTAAGCAATACTGAATGCTAAGTGAGAGCTGACTGTTTAATCATATAACATACTTTTTTTAAACAGTATTCTACACGCACAAACTTGAACCACTACACATTTTTAGGTCAATTTTCTCAGAAAGGGAAAGAACTGAAACAAACAATATCGTAACTGAAGCAAAGGTAGCAGGGATAAGTAATGCCTTTTATTAGGCTAGCTGCAATGCTACAGCCTCCCCAAGAAGTTTCACAAATCTCAGCCCTCACATCTTCCTTATAGAATAAGCATCCTCCTCCCATGTGGCATTTTTATTAAAAGATTTTAAATCTCATTTAGGAATGACAATAGTTTTACTATTTTACAGACTCAAAAACTGAACAAGATATTATTCATCTGCCTTCCCTTCAGGCATACCTCTCGAAGACATCGACATGTTTACCCAGTGATCATGCAGAACATAGACCACTTGCAATCAAGCCTACATGCATTTCACTAGGTTTGGAAAATGGAGGTACATATGATACCACTACACGATTCAAGCACAACCAAACAAACCTTTAAATCATGCATGTAGAATTGCTACTTCTGAATAAGGAGTTTCAAAGAACAGAGGAAATCCTCACGGAAAGAAAGTTTTGCCTACCAAGGGAATTAAATACCACAGTTCTGAGCTCCAAATGCCAACTGGGAACTCGTTATCTACTGATATCTGCCATGTGACCTAGTACATTTCCAATTTTTAAAGGACTGGCAGTGTGTTACACAAAGGGAGGAGTTTCGCTTTTGTAAGTTGACTGCCATAATGTCTTGCCATCTCAGCTAAAAACCACAGCCAAATCCACTCAGAGATGCTTATTTCTTTAAAAGCAAACCCAAATCTCGGTTTCTGGCAATTGACCTACCACAAATAAATCCTCCTAAAGTCATGACTCAATCGAAATATGGCAGTAGATGTCATACAAGTTGAAAGATATAGACAAATATTCCAGTATTTGAAGCTTACATATTAGAAGTTATTGTCTGCCAAATCTGATTAAAAAAATCTGAGTGTGTCTCTGGAAAGGCATTGACCTGGCATCCACACAGCCACTCTGTGGTGTTCTCTACCTCTCCACTGCATCATCTGAAAAGCTCAATGTCAAAAGGGATTAAGACTGCAAAACTGCCTAATGTCCTCTTCATGATGAACAACAGTGTCTTAAAAATGTAGAATGTAAGGACAAGGCAAGCACACATTGGTGCTTTTTGTACAATTATTTCATGGCCTCAAACAATCGGCAGTTCAGGTTCTTCCAGGATCAGAGATGTCGCTCTACTCTATTGCTCTCAGTGGGATTTTCCCCCTCGTGCTTTTCCAGTTATTACTTGAATTCACAGCTCTGTGCAGTAAGAAATTATCTTCTGTTTTCTAGTCTCTCTGTCATACTACTTGGTTTTTTTGACCACTACTGAGCTAACATTTTCACAGAGCCAGATTGACATCTCAAGGCTTAAGTGAAGGCTGTCAGTTCAGAGTTCACCACTATATTTATAGAATTAGCACAGTTTTCTCCTGGTTGCCTTACTTTATGTATACATACGTGAAACTTCTTCTGATGCTGTTGCCTAATCAGAAATTCTCTTGAAGACCTCCCACAGTTAAGGTCCTGCTTATTCATACAGGCCTTCTATATTGCTGTGAAATGCTTATTAGCATGAACAAATAACTTTTTTTTCTAAACTATTTTTCCCTTTATCCATATAATATATGAAACGTATTGAACACCACAAATACAGCACAGATTTCTACAGGATTCTACTGGTAGCTCAAATTTATTCCATCACTGTTTCTTTCTAATCATTCATGAGAATACTTCTTTCATCTTATGCTTATTAGTTTTCTCAAGAAGCTTTGGTGAGGACCTGGTCAAGTAAATGGTGTCAAATGCATCTCCCTTGACCAGATGATTGAGGATTCCCTCAGATCTGAAGTTTGCCACCTCATTCTTCAGAAGCCTAGGTTCCCACTGACCCAGTATAAGCCCTGCATCCAATAAAGAGCAGAATCACAAATAATTTTGAACACAGAATAAGGAAAACTGCCATATAGGTTTCCTTGTAGTCTCACCTGGAACTGATGTACTGTAGAAAATAATTTGTTGCAGAAGGTATGTCTGATATAGGAAGGCCAGCATTCTGCACATCGGCAGTTTCATCACTTTCATCTCCTAGCTATAAAAAGAACACATATATATTGACAGTTTAACTACTGACCACAAAATTTTCAGCTCACTTTCCCAAGACTTCCACAAACACTTTCTACAATAAAAAAAATATAAGCCTACGCCCCATTATTACACTTTATTTTGTTATGCTAGGAAACCTGCACAAACCTGTCTTCAACAGGAGGTACTAACAATCCAACTCAATTATTTCATGCACAGGTTTGAACCCAGGTTGCCCTATTTTTCTTTTCTCACTTTTTCTGTGAAGTCTTGGTTGCATGGGAGTATCTTAGGAACTACATTTCAACTTAATTCTTATCCAAAAAGTAAGAGAAAACATTACATTGCACTGAGCTTTAGATGTTACCTGTGATTGCAGTAGATATGCTTAATTTTGAACGAGCTTCTTATGCTACTAGCAGTATTAATTCTTTTTTTTAAATGCCTGGAAGACCAGTTTTACTAAACAGCCAACCAAACTGTGTTCACAGCTTCTAATTTTGCATATATACATGGACGTTTTAACCTTGTTATATAGTGGCTTCAAAGTACTTCATAAACAGCGTATAATGCTTATGCCAACAAATGATCTGTTCCACTGTTCCTCACTTAAATACATCAACTCTTAGTCAAGATAACAAACATGTTTACCTTAACTCTATCTCTTAAGTTTTGTCCAAATACAAATGCTTGCTGTGCATTTAGTTCCACCTTCTCACAGCTGTCATCATCTGAAGTACTGTTGGACTCTCTTTTCTGAGATTTTCCTGCCTAAAGAAAACAAATAGAAAACTTTAGCCTAGGTAATTGAGTTTCTTTAAACAAAATGTTATGCTATGACATGGTGAGTAACACAGTCATTTACAAAGACAGGTCAATAACATCTCCAGAGCTACAAAGCAAATTTTGCATTAAAAAAAAAAATCCTCTGTTGTTTACAGCATCTTTCTTAATGAATCACAGAATAGTTAAGATTCAAGGGGCTCTCTCACAATCATTTGGTCCAAACTGTACTCAAAGCAGCATCAACTTCAAAGTTATGCTAGGCTACTTGAGACCTCATACAGTCAAGTTTCAAAAAAATCAAGGATGTCAGTTTTACAGTTTGGTAGCCTAGTTCAGTGTTCAACTGCACTAAATGATAGTTCCGTTCTAATACCCAACTGGAATCCCCCTCTCCCACACCTGCAGCCTCTAATTTGTTTGGTAGGCACTTCCAAGTCTCATTCTATCTTACTAGAGCCCACCACTAGATAGTTGAGGAGAAAATTCAATTCCCTCTCCCCTAGTCCAAGCAGAACATAGTCAGCTTTTTCACCCTCTCAGACATCATGTGCTCCAGCCACTAGTCACCTTGGTGTTCTGTAGGTGGCTTTCATGTGCTGGCAAGACCTAAACTACACACAATATTCCTGATGCCACCTGCCACTGGCAAGCAAAGGGGAATAATCACTTTTCTGAACCTGATTATTCTCATACAATAGTTCTCATCCCATTATACTCAGGGCCTTGCACCTGCAAACCCTTATAGTGGTGTTGGGAAGCAATTGCAACCAGCATGGGAATCACCCTTTCCCTCTTCTCTCCTAGTTTCCTACCCTGTAGCTTTTGATTTACATTACAAGACCCAATAATATGCTCCAATCAGCATTAACAGCATTATAAGCAGAAAAAAAAGAGTAGGAAGTTTGAGCATATCCTAATAAAAAACATAGAATTACTACAGGAAGAGTATTATGGGGTGCCACCTGCTCCACTGGAGAGGACGCCTGGGATGGAGATGCCTGTCCAGGGAACGCCTGTCCAAGGAACCCCTACCACTTCCTGGCTGGCCCGTGGGAAGTTTTCCCTTTTCCTTCCTCTTTTGCCCTCCCCTCCTCCAAAATAAAATAACTGTCACCTTTAGAAGTAATACTATCAGCTATAGACCCTGCTAATAAATTCTGTACAGGAGAACTTGTCTCAACATCCTTCATGCAAGGAATGAGGATCTCCAAGCACTTGTCTGCATAGCTGCTTTCTAGCCAGTCACCCTCCAGTCCTTGTAACATATGGGTTATCTCACCCCGGGGTACAGAACTTTGCATTTGTTGACAGTCAGTTGGTTTCTCATGGCTCATTTTTCCAGCCTGCTGAGATCTCCCTGAACAGCCCTGCCTCCCAACATATCGACCATTTTCACCTTCCCTCAGTTTACTGGCACCCACAAACTTAACAAGATTCATTCCACATTGCCAGGTTGTCCATGTAAACATTAAATACTACTGACCTCAATATCAGCTCTAAAGGAAAGCCTCTAGTAACTGACCAGCCATCAGACTCTGAACAATTAACTGCTACCCTTTGAGTTCAGCCAATTTTCCACCCACTTTAAATTCTACCCAACCAGTACACCACTCTCCAGTTTGTCTATGATGATGATACCAGAGACCATCCATGTCAAAGACCTTACTAAAGTCAAAACCAACAAGTATTGCCCTCTGCACAGCCAATCATCTCAGAGGGTGGAAAAAACCAACCTCAGGTCGGCCACCATGTTTTATCCATGCTGACTGTTCTCAATCACTTTAACATGCTTCATACCCTAGGACTCCCTTCACCAGGAAGGCAGAGGAAGGGGCTGAGCAGTTTCTACTTTCCTGGATCCTCTTTCTTGCCATTCTTGAAAATGTGTGCCATGTTCTCTTCTTCCCCAGAAACAGGGACCTCCCACAGTACCACAACATTTTGAAGATAGGCAGTGGTCTCACAGTAACACCAGCCAGCTTCCTCAGCACCCTTGGATACATGCTGCCTTGTCCCATCAACTTGTGTATGTCAAACTGTCTCAGACAGTCCTTAAGTAGATTTACCATAAGTCATTCCCACAAACTTCCCCTAGGAAAAGAGACCTGGTAGACCTGACAGCAGACCTCTCCAGTAAAAACCAAGACAAAGGCATTGACTCCCTCAGATTCTTTCATGTCCTTCATCACTAGGTTCCCTCCAACATCTGGCAGCAGGCCTACAGGTTTCCTTCCTCTTGCCTTTGCTGCTAATGCACCAGTAGAAGCCCTTCTTGCAGCCCTTTCATTCCCAGTCATTTCCAACTCAAACTAAGCTTTGGCTTTCCCAGTTCTCTCCCCACATGCCCAGGCAATCCTTTTGTAAATCTCTCAGGTACCTTGATTTCTTTACCAGCTTATGTAAACTCCCTTTCTGGATTTAAGGAGCTCCTAGTTCATCTACACTGGTCTCCTGCCACACTTGCACAATTTCCTGCGCACTGGGATAAACTACTCAACTCTAAGGGGGTTGGTTGTAAAGATAACAAGCTCTCCTAAGCCCTTCTGTCCTTCAGGATCTTACCAACAAGCTCGAGGAACAAGTCTTCTCTCCTGAAGTCTGGGTCTTTATTCTGCTACTTATCTTCCCCACTTCCCTCAGGATCTCAAACTCCATCTCATAGCTGCTGCAATCACAGCTACTCTCAACATCTGTATGCTGTGAATACCAGGTCCAGCTGAGTACCCGCCTGGGTCAACTTACCTAGCACCTTCATCAAAAACAACCTGTTCTCAATGTATTCCTAAAATCTCCAGGAGTATTTCTACCAGGACATGTTGCCATTTTATCAGGTGTCAAGTACTTAAAGTTCCCCTTTAGAACCAAGGTCTGCAATTGTGAAGCTTCTAGTTCTCAAAGGTTTTTAGCTACTTTCTCATCTTCATCAGTCCAACTCTAGTGGAGGTCCACCTTAATGTCCCCCTTGTTGGCTTCCCCTCTGATCTTAATCTATAAAGACCTGACCCACTCAGCACCTTTCCCAAACCAAAGTCTCTGCATTCAAGCAGCTTCTTTGAGCATAGGAGAACCCATCCCCTTCTAGTCTTTCCTGCTTTACTTCCTAAAAAGCTCACAGGTATCCAATGCAGTACTCCAGTTGTCCAAGTGAACCTCCTGTGTCCGTGACCCCAGTTATGGTCTGTAACCCCAGGTTACAGAACTGCCACTGCATATAGATCACCAACTCCTCCTGTTAGTTTCTCATGGAGAGTGTTTTTGCCTACAGGTGCTTCAGATAGGCTGCCAGCCATAGCACTTTCCGCACGTATTGCGCAGGGGAAAGGTGGCAGTGGAAAAACAACACTGGATTTGGTCCAAAGGAGTTTTGCAAATCCCAGTTCATGTTTAAGGGACATAAACTTTGCATAACCTAGCTGTGTCATCGGCCTTCAGATTCTAATTCTGGCATTTCAAAGACATCCTTTTCCTGCTGGTAGTCAGAAATGGGCCAGTGCTGCCTGCTGGGAGTAGTCCTCCACCACTGAATGGTGCAGACAGGGTAAAAGATTCTTCTGTTGAACAAAAAGAAAAAAATCATTAACTTAGGATATTCTCCTCCTCCTTCTGGATAAGGATCAGTACCTCCCTGGTGCCAAAAAGGCCAAAGGCTGCATGGTAGGCTTGAACAGTTGCCTATCAAGCTTCCCTGCACATCTGATGAGTTTCAGCCAGACTCTCCCACCAGTCAAGGGAAGTTGACTAGAAGGCTGCAGCTTGTATCCATTTACGGACTATGCACTTAGGGCTCCTGCAGTTTCCTAGGGATTTTCAAGACAGAGACAAGGCCTAGCCCGAATAGGTACAGGTTGCCACAGAGATGCTCTGACTAGGACAACAACCAGATAGAGAACATTCCCACTCTGCTACCTTGTATAAGCACAAGACAGAGACCTCAAAAAAAGAATCTTTTCTGCCAGTAAAATAAGACCATGACTTAGATCTGCTCTAACAAGTGCAGACCAGGCTCATATATAACTGCAAAATACCATGTACTTGCTCTCACAAGGAAGCTCGCTCTCTGTGGTACATCGAATCTATGCCATATCTCCACACATACAATTACTAATACAAAACTTTTAATTCCAGAAGGAACCACTCACTCTTATCAAGCAATCTAATATTCTGCAGAGATATTCCAGCATTTAACACGACTACTGTATGACCTCCAATTACGTATAGTTGTGCTAGAAAGCTTCAGGCAGATGTCAGTCATCCTGACTACAAATGCCAGGACAATGAAGAATATCCCACCACAGTCCCTAGTAAATTGCAAATGTTCAGTTATGAAACTTTACACCCTTTCACATTTAGCTTTCAGTGATCCTTAACATCTAGATTTAAGAGCTTTCTTCTGTCAGAAAACTTCTTCCAGTATTTCTGGACTTTGATTAAAAAAGTCAAGAGGACGATGTTAAAAATGTATAGAGGGTCTCCCTAATGACATACACAGCGGTAACAAGCACGTCTCACAAAGACTTCATACTGATACATGCAATGAATTTACTTATTGCTACTTAATTATGGCAGTAGCCTTTCACACTTGAAGTCTTTCTGCTTAGATATTCAGATTTCAAAATTGAGACTTGAATTTCAAGTAAACCGTTGAGTACTCTTGCATTGTTAACAATACTACTTCTATGCTTGATGTGGCATCAAAAAGTAACCCACTGTCTAATGAAGCTACCAAAATAAACCCCCAGCCCTAAAAATCCACCCAAAACCCACACACCCTAAAAATCCCCAAATATCCTTCTCATGGTCTCAGTCAACATATCTTAAGATGCCAACAGTTAGCTCAATACCTGCAGGAAGAAAGGACTGAACACACTTTGCACAGCATGGGGAAGCAACTATTTAAGTACTTTCCTTTCAAGATACTGAATACATAACTTTTAATGCACTTAGATGCCTTTTCCTCTAGCTGAAGCTTTTCAGTCACTCATTACCTACACTCTCCCCCCACCATTTCCTGTAGGGAATTTATTTGCCACCTCTGGGTTTTTACCCACTATCAGCTCCTGTCTCTAAGCTTCTTTGTGTGTTACTCATTCACTTCAGTTGCCTGTTTGTCTTCCATCCTCACATTTCTCAACACCGTCCCACATTCAATTGTTAGAAATCAAGACAACAACAGTAAAGCCATCATCCATGTGCAGGGGATCACTTTTTGCTAGGCAATCTGAGAAGGAAGACTGAACATATGCAACAAACTGCTCAGTTCGCCCAGCTCAAAACCAAATCCTTTTCAGACAAGAACAGGAATTCAGTATGTGCTTCCTAGTCTCTGGCCTGACAGGAGCACCAGTCAGACCCAGTGACAGCCACTGGAGGAGACAGCTTTTTTCCTCCCTCATTGAAGACAATGTCCTACTTTCCTGACCCACTCCCTGCACACAGAGTGAGAGATGAACCTGCAGGAGTAAGATTTCTTTCTTCACACAAACTGATCAGATGAAAAAGCAGTATTCTGACTATCAGTCCACTGAACCAAGACACCCAAATTACAGGAATTCAACGTCTATGGTAGGAATGGCATCACTCAAGCAGCAGTAAGACTTTACAGTAAGATTAGAAATAAAGCTAGAAGAACTAAAAGGAACCAATTAGAGCAGAAGTAGAACTGAGCCTTTTTTTTTTTTTATATATTTTGTGAGGGAAGATAGGTATGAAAAACCATCTTAAACTATGGATTCAGTAAATCTTTGTTACAGTTCTTGAGTTAGTAAATATAAATATAGCATACTATTAGGACAGTATAAAATCTACTACTATACCTAAAGTGTACTACCATATTATGGTAAGGGGGCTATCACTGACGAAGCTGAATTCACATTACTAAACAAATAGACTGTTCAGAGAATACTACTTTAAAGCTTGTCACCTTGTGAGTCTTTCCAATCCTTCTCTAACTCACCTTGTCTTCAGAGTCAGAACTTTTCGGTGTTGCATTACTTAGTGATTCTGATGTGGCTGCAGAATCTGGCGGGGTATTTACACCATTGGTGCCACTGCTGAGAACTGTGATAAAGAATGAGAAAATTGCAAAAACTCTCCAGATATTTAGATTTTCCTAAAAGTAGTAAGTTTCATGTAGAAAATTGCATGCTGATTTCTTAAGTCCATGAAATCTTGCAATGTAAACTACAGAGTTCCCATAATATTTTGCAAGACGCACAAGGTCCATGATTCAGCAATACTTAGCACAATCAAAATTCCATATATAGAAAACGAAGCCATCAAAAAGTCACTTATATATACAAATTCTGCAGGGACTTCAACACATACAACTTCAAGCAACCACCATGCTTCAATCTAATACTGTTCACAGCCAGCAGGGCTCCTCTTTGGACTGATCAGCTACCTACACACTGAACTCTTACTGAAAATTTGTACCCCAATATTAAGTTCTCTACAGAGTCCAATCTGTGCCAACAGACATATCAAGAAATCAAGCTAGAAACGCTTCGTTCTATGCCAGATTAAGCATTAACTGAAGTTGCTTCTGTTTCAATTCAACTGAACTTCCAAATAACAAAAGGCAGGGGAGGCTGGGGAAACATAGGAGGAGACATGGACACCTTGAACAGTTTGTATGTCAAAGTCACAACTCCAAAACGGTCCCCAGGCCTAGAGGCACCTCCAAGTGATTTACGCATTTTACATCACCATGCTGCTAGCTGAAGTCTACCACTACTGTTCAATTGATCAGCAGTAGCTTATAACACCATGGTCACTGCTGTCATTTGAGATTGCCAATCCACACCCTTAAAAGTCTTTTTATTTCAAAAACCAACCATGGACTACAAAGCTGGAGGCCTGGAAATGGCAGACAGTCATCCTACACAAACTGAACGTTCAACTTGTGTTATCCCTTATATAACACAGATATACTTAACATTTAAGATGTTTCTTTTCTGAAAGGAAAAACCCAGAAAAACAGAGGCAGATGCTAAGTGAAAACAAACCACTATACTAAACAGATTTTGTATTTTTGCTCTCCCCCTATGGTATTCTAAAAAGCAAAAGCATTATTTACCCATCTGTGAGAAAGCTTTTGGCTGTGGCGCCTGTAATACTGCTGGACGTAGCACACTTCGCTGCTGTTCCTTCGGTTTCTGGCTAGGGAGACCTGTAAATATGAAGTTTTTTTCAAGAGCTATAAAGCTTTAAAGTTGTAAAATTCACCTTCATCTAATCTTTTCTGTAACTGATTCCAACAAAACACACAATGGAAAACAAGACATTTAAAAAGCTTCCATTCCCTTCTTTCCCATCCCTCACTCAGCCTCACATTAGAATTTGTCCCAAAGAGAACACAATTTCCTACCTTAAAAAAAAAGCTTTAAAATATATTCTTTACCTTATCCAGGAAAGCACACAAGGAGAGTTTATGACAATGACTCAGAAATAAAAGTCAAAATGTAAGAGAAATAAACAGTACACAAGTAATCCTATTTATTCACTGACATATTAATCAACAACACATTTCCAGTCGTCTTTTCTCCCTCCACTCTCATTCAAACAACTTAAAAAACCCCAAAACATCTTAACATCAACTCTAGAAGGTTATGTCAATCCCAGAAGGTTCAATTTTCTTCACCAAACAAAGCAAAGATGAACTCCTGGTCCGATAAAATACTGCAACAGAAGTTACTCATAGCAACTCAACTGAATATTCTGCAACTAGTTCCATTTCAGGCCACCCATACTCAAAGAACATGATAACCACCAAAATATAACTATATTAAGTGTTTTTGAGCTGACATATGAACATTTGAACTTGTTTTTTTTTAAATTTACTACTCTTCCTGTAAATGTAATAAACAGGGTTTTTTTATATATCTATATAAAAAAATATATATATAAAAACAAATAATAACCTCCATTACCAACATAGTGGTTTTTTTTCTCAAAATCCTAAGGAGCAGTAGTATTAACGTATTTCCCATACTAGCTAAGTCTACATTAGCAAACAGGAAACTCAGTAAGAGCCAAACCATACAGCAGAACAGCTAGGATCAAGGACCCAACATCCATTCTATGGTCAAAAGCCAAGGAAAGAAGGAAGTGGGAAGTGAACATTTCAGACTTTGCTCTAGCCTGGTCCCAGACTGAGTACCCATTAATGGCTGGGGTGGGACTTGTTCAGCGGGCTCCTTGGCTGGGCTGGAACTTGTTCAGCGTGCTCCTGGAGCACTCCTTTTGTTCCAGTTTACTACCAAAGGAATTGAGTTCATGAAGCCCAGGACTACTCTAAGAATTGCATCAAAGCATGCTAAGCAGAGACAACTGGGCGATACATTTCAGAAATGCATGACTGATCCAAGCCAAAATTCTGGAGGTTTCTATACACATTACACAGCGGATATGGGCATAACCACTCTGGATAATACAAAATGCTTTTCTGCATGAACACAAGTATTGCCACATTCCAGTTACAATATCAGTTTGAGGAAACTCCTAACTAAGTAAAATGCTTGAACTGTTTTCTTCATACTGCTGCAGAAAACATCGAACTCACCTGCACTAGGTGCCTGACCATGGATAAGTATTGGAGGCTTCAGACGGAATCCACTGCTCTTTTCCTCTAGAAGCAAAATACAAAATTACAAGGTCATAGCTGTAACATACTACATACATTCATAAAATTCCTCATACTTTCCCCACTGTAACAACCTACAAGTTTTATAAATATCCAAAGAACAAATTCACTTTTTCCAAAAGAAGTCTGAATTTTCAGTGATCATCACAGCAAATACAAAGACAGAAACACAGGTTATTGCAAGAAAAAAGATCTGAAATTGTTTTTCAGGCAAAACATGAAACAGACCATTTTCACAAAAGAAATGAAGTTCCTTCTGTGAAGGACTTAGAGGTACTTAATAGAGTTTAAGTGAGAATCAAATTAATGAAAGGACAATCAAAAGCATGACTGAACATGACAGCTGCTAACAAGCACCCAACTGCTAATTATTATAATTAAGTTAAATTTAATTGCTTAATATTAGTTTCTTGTAATTCCATTAGCTTTTACCTTATGCTTTTATAGTATGAAGGTAAAAGAAATTCCTTTGCTTGTACTCACAAGTTAAGGCTTTTAGATAAAATACAAAAATCTTAAAAAAATAATATTCATAAATCCACAGCTATTACAAAATGAGTTCCTACAAACTTACAAGGTGTAATTATTATTATTATTCTCGTGCCCTTTAAGCTTAAGATAACAATATGCTATACAGCAATACCAACACAACCAAACTGCAGAACAACAGTGATTAACAAAATAAAGTCAGTCAACACAGGGTTCACAGGTCACGGCTGAACATCATCATGACCACAGATTGTGGTTGAATTGATTTAATAAAAAAATTAAAAAAAAAAAAGAGTATCCAAAGTACATCAATGAAAATTTGCCCTAAGTTTTATCTTGAGGTTAACAGGTGGGCATAGAGTCATACTCCAGTCTTCCACCACCACTCACAAAGCATTTAGGAGTTTTTATATTTGTTATTTTTTATTACCTCCAGCAAGCAAGAAATCAAGCAACGAAGTGAGCAAGATGAGATCAGAACCACCACCACTTCCAATCTCCCAGATTGACACTTCAGAAGTAAGACAAGTACTTTGGATCATGACAGACTGAGAACCGTTTGTGGAGAAAAAGCAGACAAATGAGGAAGCTTACCTGGTTCTGAGTCAGAATTGCCTGTAGAGGGTTCACAGAAGCTTGATGGCATAAACACATTGTTCTTTGTTACTGCAGTCAAGGAAAAAGAAAAATAAAGAGAAGTGGTGTATGTTGTTCTTAATTATAAAGTCTGTTCCCAGGCATATTACGACTGCAAATTGCAAATGATTTTTCTAGCCATTGTTTTATTTTAGGTTTTTCTTTCTTCTAAACTAAAACAGTATGACAGCCACAGAAGTAAACAGGCCATTGTCCATAAAATCCCCTTAGTTTCTCCTGAAACAGAGAAAGAGCAAATTTCATTTATTCTAGAGAGAAGATAAACACAAGATTCACAGTCTGCATTGTATCTGACCTAGGAATTAAAAGTGATGTTAGAATGTATAATATTACAAAATACGTGTAACATTTCAAAAGGCCTCTGCAGAGAGGGAAGAAAGGAGTGTAGTGCGTGCTAACACCTGGGCTCCTCAAAAGGCTTGAGAGTCATAGCATAGTTTGCACTAAGAGCTAGGCAACTCACATTTGAACTGTCTTGTAAGGACAAAAATTCTACAGAAACAACGGAGAGAACAGTATTTGCAGATATCACATTTAAGAAACATAACAGTAAACAAAAGAGCAAAAACATCTGAAAGGAACAGGCAAGGGACAGTGTTTCTTTTCCATCCTCTGCTAGGACCTAGAGAAGCAAGTAATAAGGAGTTCGGTAAGGAGGCCCTGTTCAGCAGTTACTTCAGCAGTTCACCAAATTACTTTTGGTGTTGCACAAAGAACCACAGACAATGCAGTTTATGAAACACAATCATCAGAGCAGGAGGTAGATGCATCAAGAGTCACAAGGCAATGATAGTAGGTTTGTCTCCAACAGATCACCTTGCATGAGGTAATGTACGACAATACTTACCAGCTCTTTTAGCTTTTATGAGGTTGTGGAAGAACCTTAAATATGTTGAAAAGAGAAGAAACTCATCTCTGAACACTGTTATACTAAAAGATGCAGCACTTGCCTTTTGTATTTAAATTGCAGACTATTTTTTTTTCCCTATTTGCTTCTTTCCTTTAATTCCCCCTTCTCTCTTTTTATTATGGTCTGCCTTAAGCTTAAACAAGATGAAGATTTCATATAAACAAAATTTCCCTACCCTTGAAACATAACTCCACAAAAAACTTAAGAGGTTTGGAAAGGGAAAAATTTTCTGTAAACCAAGGCCATCAAATACTGTCAGCAACATTCAATCCCCAGGTGTAAGAAATCAGGAAAGGAAGGTGAGAGGCCAGCCTGCTGACTCAAGACCTGCTGGGCAAACTAAAGGCAAGAAGGAAATGCACAGGCAGTGGAAGCAGGGACAGGTATCCTGGGAAGAGTACAGGGACACTGCCCGGTTGTGTAGGGATGGGGTCAGGAAGGCCAAGGTGAGGCTGGAGCTGAACTTGGCAAGGGATGCAAAGAATAGTAAGAACGGCTTCCACAGGTATGTCAGCCAGAAAAGGAAGATCAAAGAAAGCATAGCACCTTCCCCCTCCATTGAACACAACTGGCAAACTGGTAACAACAGAAAAGTAGAAGGCTGAGGTACTCAACTTCTGTGCCTCAGTCTTCACTGGCAGGCTCTCTTCCCACACCTCTCAAGTGGATGGACCTCAAGACAAGGACTGGAGGAGCAAAGTCCGTCCCACTGAAAGAGAGGATCAGGTTCGAGACCACCTGAGGAACCTGAACATGCACAAGTCTATGGGACCTGACAAGATGCTTCCCAGAGTCCCGAAGCAACCGGCTGATGTAGTTTCCATGGTATTTGAAAAGTCCTGGCAGTCAGGTGAAGACCCTGGAGACTGGAAAGAGGGAAACATTGCACCCATTTTTAAAAAGGGTAGGAGGAGGCATGGAGGACCCTGCAGTCAGGTGAAGTCTCTGGAGACTGGAAAAAGTCTTTTTGCACCAATTTTTAAAGAAGGTGGGAGGCAAGAAGCACCCTGGGAACTACTGACCAGTCAGCCTCACCTCTGTGCCTGGGAAGATCATGGAGCAGATCCTGCTAGAAGCTGTGCTAATGCACGTGGAGGGCAGGGAGGTCATTCGAGACAGCGCCCCTAAACCATGTCCTGAAGCGCCACATCCACACGTTTTTCGAATACTTCCAGAGATGGCGACTCCACCACCTTCCTGGGCAGCCTATTCCAATGTTTGACCACTCTTTCAGTAAAGAAAATTTTCCCAATATCTAGTCTAAACCTCCCCTGGCACAACTTGAGGCCATTTCCTCTTGTCCTATCGCTGGTTACTTGGGACAAGAGACCAACACCCACCTCACCACAACCCCATTTCAGGTAGTTGCAGAGGGCAATAAGATGTCCCCTCAGCATCCTCTTCTCCAGACTGAACAACCCCAGTTCCCTCAGCTGCTCCTCATCACACTTGTTCTCCAGACCCCAGCTTTGTTGCTCTTCTCTGGACACGCTCCAGCACCTCAGTGTCCTTCTTGTAGTGAGGAGCCCAAAATTGAACACAGGCAGGGAGGTCATTCGGGACAGCGAGCACAGCTTCACCAAGGGCAAGTCCTGCCTGACCAACCTAGTGGCTTTCTATGATGGAATTGTATTAATAAGAACATGGCTGGCAAATCATGGGAAGCAATCATCCCTTTCTTATCAGCACTCAGTAGGTCACTTCTGTGCCCATTTTTGCATTCAACCAGCACCCCCAGATCCTTTTCCACCAAGGACCTCTCCAGCCACTCCTCCCCAAGGCTGTAGTGCTGCATGAGGTAGTTGTGGCCAAAGTGCAGGACGTAGCACTTGGCCTTGTTGAACCTCACACAATTGGCCTTGGCCCATCGGTCCAGCCTGTCAGGATTCCTCTGCAGAGCCCTCCTACCCTTGAGCAGATCAACACTCCTTCCCAACTTGAAAGGTGAACCAAAGCTTCTCATCCATATCATCAATAAAGATATTAAACAAGACTGGCCCCAAAACTGAGCCCTGGCAAACACTGTAACCAGCTGCCAACTGGACTTACCTCCATTCACCACAATGCTCTGGGCTTGGCCATCCAGCCAGTTCTCTACTCAGCAAAGAGTAAACCTGTCTAAGCGACAAGCCGCCAGTTTCTCCAGGAGAATGCTGTGGGAGACGCTGGT